ATCAAGTCGCGCCCATTCCCAAAAAAGGAACTTATTGATCAGCGGAGACTTTTTGTAGCAACTTTTTTATTAACATCGAATGTTACAGAACAGACGTAATATTACGTGACAAATAGCGAACCAAGCAAAGAATCCGGTCAGATTCCGCGTAGCGTACTGAATAAATCATGGACACGCATTCTTCAACAGATTTTTTGGATGAGGCTAAGCAAAATCGGCAGACAACAGCCACATTATTCAAGCGCCGGGTGACACGAAAACAATACTGGTAACTCAAATTTTAACTAACTAAACCGAGTGAGCAGCAAAGTCAGATGTTGCCATAGTCTGAATCTTGCCCCATGAATCAGCTCGATGCAAATATTGAAATTAAGCGCCGATGAATGAAGTGTTACAGAAGGCAGAAGTTTCTTCGTCGCTCCGCAGACATTAGCGAATACTGGCCAGGAGCTTGCGCGAGAAGACTAGTTTGCTGGCAGCATTACTATGTCATGGACCAGTGGTGGAAGGACGTTATGCCGTTTTGGAAGCATGACTGTGTTCCACATCTTGTAGAGCAAGTGTGTAATTCATGTCGATAGAATGTCTGTATTTCGCAGTGCAAGGGTGTTCATAAGTCATTCCCCATTCCAATGAAACCAGCATTTTCTTGAAGTGGAATTATAGCAAGCAAGAAAAAAAACTATCGGGTTCGGCGTTAAACAAACAAAAACAAGCGAATAACTTCAGACCTCGAAAAAGGTTAGAGGGTAGGAGCAATACTAGCAGTTTACATGAAATAGCAATTGCTGCGAGCTTCAATTTGATATATGGGGCCAAGCTAAGCGAAGGCGACGATTCCTAAGAGAGAAAATGGGGGCATTCGCTCTACGGGGGGGGGGGGGAGGTGACGGAGCATATTCGCTCGTTTTGCTACTTCCGTAACAGAGGGTGATTCCGCCTATCTGCTGAAACTCATCCTGACTTGACAGGCTGTACCATGATGGCTTGACAAGCTGTTCCAGCTTCACAAGAATTCACAGTCCACCAGAGTGAGACTTGTGAACCCAAGAATTCGTCAGACAGCGAAAGATGCAAATCTCCCTCCCTCGTCGCAGAACTCTCTTTGAAACACATATTGTAGGAGAGGAAAGCTGCGATCAAGGCTCGAGGGATCAGTCTCGTATTGGCTACTTCCTTGGTCAAAACAAGGCTTCCATCTCCAGTGTTGAATAGTTGGTGCTGCTAAAACTTGTTTGAAAGGATAAATTCTTCGAGTTAATCCGGGGCACAAATCGAGCCGTCGAACGGTAAATCAAGCAAAGAGCCAACCAAACACATCCACCTACCCTTAGACAGAGCCAGAAAGTAAACTCGTGACCCGCATCAGCCTTCCCAACATTGACCAAGCACTCACCCCTTTTTTAACAACGTCGCAAGTGAAGCGAGACATAAAATGCAACCTTTTAATAAAATTTTTTTAAAACTCAATATGCTGACCACCTCGCACCCTCTCTGCCGACCAGGTACGACCCCCTCGTTTGGGGATTTCCCAACAACGATCTTCTTTAGTGTTTAGCAAATCTAACTCTGGCCAAAACCTGTATGAATCTGTTAAAAGTGGAGCAGGGCCGCCAAACCATTATGTTGAAGCCTGTCAACTCGAGAAGAGAATGTCTGGATAGGAATGGTACATAGGACTGGGTCACGTCTATGCGAACGCAGACAAAGGTGCAAAATTGCACAAAAATGCCCCCTCCTCGTCGCTGAACTACGCCCCGTGCTCAAATTTTTTTTGCATTAACAAATCAGTAACATAGCCCTTGAATTAAAGCATTAGCCGTTGCTTTCTCAATGTCTTTTGAATCTTTTTCAAAGGCGTTTCTCAATGTCTTTTGAATCTTTTTCAAAGGCGCGGCCCTCGATAAGAAGCATAGGTAATAGTGTTGAAACATGGGAAAGAAGTTGTAAGTGGCTCGTCTATAAGAGAGAAAATGCCAAAGAAGACGTCGGAAAAGGTCTTTGATAGGGCTCTTCCTCATCAAATAGTTATAAGGGTGAGTCAAAAGTTTAGGACTAGTTTATCCCATGTAATGGACCCTAGACCCCACCAGAAATACTGGTGGATCCATTGCAGGCTAATTTTCCGGCAGCATCGCTTCTGGCTGAAAGCTGACTTTGAAGGCGAAGTCACTGGAAAGATTGAGGTGTCACTGGAGCAATTTCACCTCTTGACACTTTTACAACTTTCCGCCGCGAAATCGATACAAAGTTGTAGTTGGTATGGTTGAAACACATCCTTCCAACTCATTCTTTCGCATTCTCATATGTCATCGCGGACCATTCCGCTTCACTGATGATTTTATTCCTCGAAACCATGTTCCACTGGCCGAAACAGTTAAAGGCAGTTGGCACGATGGTTTCCTACTTAGCCTAAAATGCTAGTAGGGCGCTGTATAGTGGGGAAATGGCGAAAGAACGGAGTGAAACGGTCAAAATCCTGCGAAGAAAAAGCCTCCGTTCTCAGTGACTTGAAAATCGATTTCGGACGAGTTTCCCGTAGGCATCTTACCAATCACCGCTACCGAAGATACGGCTGCATATGTGTACCCATATGTATGCATGCAGCATCACGGCCGCTTCATACCAATCCCTTCGCTTCATAATTTGCTTAGCAAATGAATGAATACGAGCGTCAGGAACGGTCGTCCATTGTGGGCGGGGCGGTGTGCGGGCGTTTGGGATGTAATGTTGTGACTTGATAGAGCTATGCAGCGCCTGCCCAGGGTCGCGGAATTCTATCCATTTCTGCATCAAAGGGACATTCCACGTTGGTCGTGTGGTTAAAAGTAAGCTCACCGAAGCTGCTTTCTCATTGGAGCGGCTTATCGTGAACAAAAGGACGCTCTCTTCGAGCAGTAGGATTCAATGTGGGGTGGGAGCAACTGCGCTCATAAGACTAGCGTGAAATGTGCCTTTCTGCGATCATCGAATCTCTCCAGTGATTGCACTGATGCAGTACCAGCGGTGATTTGTTGGTATCCAGAACGCCACCGTAGAGGGAGCCGTACCTGACTCTTGAAGACAGTTCCCGCGATTAAGTAGTCCGCGAATTGCCTTTGTGAATTTGGTCATCGTTGTCCGTATTCGCCAAGAATGTACCACTTTCGTCACTCGAAACGGCGAGATAAAGAAGCTAGAGACGCGTGATTACTGCAACCATTGCGCGATTATTTTCACTCTGCAAAGCAACGGCTTACAAGGAGGATTGCGTACATAGCGTTGCCTGGAGCGTCGTAGGGTGATTTCCTGTGCTCTTGCCGAGAATTGGTTGCACGTCGAATTCTGCTGATTGGGCTTGCCGACGTACGAAAAACTAGGCGCTCACTGCGGAGGGGCATCCCTGTTCGGAGTGTTCTCAAGGTTTTTTGCTTCCTCTACAGGGGAGTTACTTATGGGCTACTGGTTTATGATTGAGCACCTACTACCCGTAACGCTTGATCGAGGGAATTGCCTTTAAGTGTAAGCGTTTCGCATTTGTATCAGGGCTGACAAATCACCAAAATCACGTCTTATGGAGCATAGTAGCAGTGCAACTGAAGCACCTCTATGGACCACAGCCTTTCGCCTTGCAAAGTCAATCTACAACATTCCTGTCATTCCAATCCAAAGTTCTGTAATCTGTTCTTAAGCGCCTGTTCCCCCATTCTTCTCAACTTTTTTCCTGTTTTTTTTCTTTAAATGATAAAAGAAACTTGGGATCGTGAAAAATTCACCTTTAAAACAAATAAGGATTGCGTCCTTGTCCGTTGGCGAGCAAGCTCGTCTACAATATTCCCTCACAACGCCTACGTTTTAGCTTGCGGAAATTTTCGATCCTGTGGTCATAATATCTCGGAATCGCATGAAAATGCCCGGCGGCCAGTCGCCTACAAATTTTGCGGTGGGGGTTCGCCTGCCCTCATAGCTCCCTCCGTGAATACAGGAAGCGATTTAGGCTTCTATATTTGTGAACATCATTCTGGACCCTATTGATACACTTAGGTCTCCATTCAAAGTTCCATGGGTACCTTAGCGGACCTCCCTGGTGAGGAGTAATGCTCCACGCATATTATATTTTATTTATCTATTATTATGTATTTTTCACTTCAAACCTCACCCTCTCCTGAACCAAAATTCACCCCTTCAAACCAAGTTCACCCCTTTCCAAACCAAATTCACCCACCTTCCGTATCGAATTCACCCACCCTCCGAATCGGATTCACCCACCTTCCGAATCGAATTCACCACACTTATTAGGCTGCGCAATTCATCAACCAAATCACGCCAGACACTACTGCGGGCCCGCCCCCTCGGCCACGCCCACTTGCTTTTTGCGGAATTTTGATATTTTTTCAAAATTGTGGGAGGCTCCGCCCACTTTGGAGAAGCCCCGCCCACTTTTCAAAAATGGTGCAACTCGGCAGTATAGAGTCTCGGCTGGCATGCTAGGGTATTGCTGATCATTCGGAACAAACTTTGCCTGATTTTCTTGTTCCGAGTGACGAACGAGACCCTAGCATGAAAGCCAAGACCCTATACTGCCGATTTGCACCATTTTTGAAAAGTGGGCGGGGCTTCTCACAGTGGGCGGGGCTTCACGTAGCAGTCCAAAAATGCAAAAATTTTGAAAAAATATCAAAATTCCGCAAAAAGCAAGTGGGCGTGGCCGAGGGGGCGGGGCCCGCAGTAGTGTCTGGCGTGATTTGGTTGATGAATTGCGCAGCCTAATAAGTGTGGTGAATTCGATTCGGAAGGTGGGTGAATTCGATTCGGAAGGTGGGTGAATTTGGTTTGAAAAGGGGTGAATTTGGTTTGAAAAGGGGTGAATTCAAAGTGAAAATGGTATATTTTAAATCAACACCAAAAATTGAATTATTACGCATTTATTACGCATTCGTTACAATGATAAGTTGAGGTAGACAAATGGCGGAGAATAGAGGCAGAGAAATACATTTCACTTTATCGTCTCGTATTGGCAACTACGCATTCGCCGTGGCTTGTGGATGCACTTGATTCGAAGTCGCTGCTTTTTTAGGGACGTGTCGTGTATCGTCTTTGAATAAATTTCGACAAAGCAACTGATTAGCTGCATGGCGCACCTAAAGTTAATCGTTTTGGTTAAAGTGATTCTGTACTTACAGAATGATTTGAATACCATCACAAGAATGCTGATTTATGGACAAAAGTCTTGACCTTAGCCGAGAATCGGGCTTTCCGGGCGGCTGCGCTAGCTTTGGCCACCCTTTAGGCTTCCAGCTCACAGGCTCGCACCGAGGTCAAAAATGGTCGGTAGTAGGACTCAAATGCATAGGAAAGAAATAAAAAACAGAAAACGGACTCTCAAATTTCTTTAAGTAGGACTCTCTGCCTATCCGAACCTGTGCGAGCATACAAGGGAGGGATGGCGTGCTTGGAGGGGCTTTGCTGGTTGGTATCAGCTCTTTCCTCTTATCACCATAGCCTCGCTTTCACCCTAAACGAATAGAGCCAATAGTGAAGCAACCGCGTCATCAGGAAGGCTTCAGCAGTGAGCGTCAGGTGTGGTATGGGTGGAGGGCTGAGCTTCGCCTTCATAATGAGCGAGTATCGGTACTGCACTTATTTTTGAGCTGCAAAAATGATATATTATCTGTGCTTGCGTACTGGACAACCTTGTCCAAATATGTCGCCTGCACACTGAATGACCCTGAAAAATGCCTATTATGGACTCTACGCCATAACCTTACAGCTCACCGTTTGAAGGCACGTTCTGCGTTCGTCTGATCTTTGGACATGTAGCCCTGCTCGCAAGTATGAAAGATGTACTACATTTGGAGCCCAAAAACAGGTGAGGAAAGCGGGCTCGCACGAGGTCACGGTCTCGCCCGTTAGCCCCGACGACGCCCAGATTTCATTTCCTCCTTGACTTCCTGATAGTGTGGTTTTTCCGCTACTAACCCTCTCTGTTGCGAATGGTGAGAATAAAGTGATAAGTAGGGGAAGCTGACCCCAACTAGTGAGAATTCTTGCGGCCACGCCCTTTCTTCGCCTTATGCACGTGCAAGCGCGGTTCAGCATGGGGTTCTGTATGGGGCGTTTCCGGGAGCTATTCCCGCTCCTTTGTTGATTACTATTCTACTACTAGTACTTGAGCAGCACAACTCAGCATTTCTGAAGGGCGTGCGCCTTCAGCGTAATAGTTCGACAACTGCTCCCCTTCCCCCCCCCCCCTATCCCCTTCCACCCCTGAGAAGTATGGAGGTCGCGCACTCGCCAGAGATGAGCACGATGCTTCAGAATGGAAGTTTGCTGAACTGAGACATACTGAGACGTTATGCGTTTTCACTCCCTATTGAGTGACCTGTACTCGAGCTTACTATCATAATAGCCTCGATTTGCTGTCTAGGGTCATCAAACAGGGCCGAATACCTGGAAGAGTGAGATTGATTGGCAGGAGATTGTGAGTCCTTAACTGCCGCCACGTTCTGCACCGGCCAATAAAAAAAAAGACTTTTCTCCTTGACTTTCGAGGCGCTATAAGTTACACTTTATTAAATTCTGATCGGACCTTTTTACTACCATATTGAAGAGCATATTAAATACTATCATGATACTCCGCCACAGCCTTCTGGACCACCGCCATCGAGAGATTCTGCCACGCAACCATGGTTCGGTGCCTGAGTTCAGCGAGATCGTTGATTTCTCCGCCACTGTAGACCACCCTATTGAACTCCGCCCGAACCAGGTAATTGATGGGGTTTAGGTCAGGTGACCCGCTTTGATATTCCATCTTCTTCAGGAACTTAACCCATTGGGCCCCCCTATATATACACTCCTGTCTTATTCATTGGGAAATTCGGTTGCTGCAGCAGCGGTGGTGTCTGCTATCTTGTGCTTCCTACCCCAACGGGTTTTTTGCTTGTTGTGTGGGGAAAGGGCAGACTGATGGCAACCACTGAAAGCTGTCTGATCCACCGGCTGGTCATCTGCGTGACAGTGTGTGATTCTACCCCTGAATCACTGCCCTTCTTTAGAACTCTCTCCCCAGCATCGAATTAAGGGTGTAAAGCTTCTTATCTCGAGTGGAAAGAGACGGACTATGGTGAGTTTCCACGTCGGGCATATCAAAACCGAATCTTTGGAAGGAGCCACCGGCAAGGTGTTACTGGAACGTGTGGCCCACTCAACTAGTCACTCTTTAGAGGAACAGTAATGATACCAACCTCTTTGCTGAAGGCAAGGTAGACGATAGAGTTTGCTCCGCAGTTCAATATAAGAAGGATAGAAGTAAGAGCATATGCCTCTGGTGTTTGGATGCCAATGAGGGGCAATAGGAAGAACGTCAGCCATACAGTTAGCATACGTAAGAAACAACAACGTAAATTGTACGAGATATCTGAAAGAAGTTGAGAATAAAAAAGGTTTCGTGCCAAACTATGTATTTGGCTGTGTTCGGCTTAGAGGGGGGGGGCTTTTCTTAGTTTTAATTGACGTGTAGACTTGTGAATTTTTGTGAAGCCACTTGGTTAACGTAGGTTACCTGACCAGTTCTGCAGACCACCTTGTTAGGACCTGTAAACTCGTTTAAAGCCAATCAAAGGCAAGTTACAAGAAAAATAGGTAAGGCATACGGGGAGGATACGCCTAGCACAAAAGAATATCCGCCTCTTAGCAGGCGCTGTGGGGCGTTTTTTCCAAGCAGGGCATCACTACAGTGCATGGCCAAGGCGCGATACCGACCCAGACGCCCACCGCAACCGCATCGCACCTCAGGTAAGATGCTTTCATTGTGCCACACTTGTAATCGTGTCTTTATCTAGAATTAGACAAGGCGACAGTTGTCCCAAATGAAATAGCCCACGAATAAGCGATCCTATTCTGGCGCCAATGATGGTCTTTGAATTGTTCATGTGACAACCAGGAATTTTGTGAGTTTTTGTGAGGATCCTGGCATTAAAGGATCAGAACGCAGATAAGTAGGGGGCTGCTAAGGCATCGAAAGGTGCAAGAAACATGTCGCAACTTAGGAGACGAGCTGCGACATGTTTTGCCGGGGGAAGGGGACCCCGGAGTGGATGAGCATTAAATTTGATAACACGATAAGGTATGCAAATTACTGCACTTACTTCGTATTCGCTCCTGTTCCGATTCTTCCGATGTGCTCGAAAAACTGAAAATAGATCTTATTTTGGTCTACTGGTAACAGACAGGAACGTCCCTGGAGACTGTAATAAGTCAACGATTCGAGGACAAAAGAAAATAGGGTGCAGTTCGACGACGGGCGGAGGGGGTATTTTGCACTTCCGCCGCTGCTTCATTAGTTCCGGATTACAAGACTCACTCTGGTGAAACCTGTCATTTCTTGTAGGCTCGTGAAATACCTCAGGAAATGAAATTTAGCATGAATTTACAAAAGTTCACATGTATTCTTTACAAGAGTTGGCACGTGGTCTCTACAAACTTTGGCTGGTATTATTCCGTGATCACGAGTTTTCACAGATGGCTTGGCACGTCGATGGGAGGTAGTCAGAGTGCAAAATGCCCTCCCCCCGTAGCCGAACTGTGCCAAGGATAGTTCGAGAACAGTTAGTTTTTCAAAAGTTCCCGAAAACTTTGGAAAAATGGTTGTCGTCGAATCGCTGCTTGATTGTTCATTAGAGATATAGCTCAACTTACAGCAATATACGAAATACAAGAATAAATTGATGTGGCAAAGAAAAGTGGCAGATCAACGCGATTCATTGCAAAATTATAGGTACCATTGGAGACGTTCATATATGAATAGCTGTAGATTCTTGGATCCGGAACGATTCTGTAAAGGCCAAGTAAATGAAAATAGCTTTCAAGTTGGAGGTAAGCTTTCGTGATTCATCTTTGTTTACAGTTCTGTTCAGCGAGCTTTATGTAGTAGCGCAGCATCTAGGGGGGGGGGATTACTGCACCCTCACCTTTGCCTTTCATACTCGCACAGGGGAATGAAGCTCACCAGACCACATCATCCAACCAGGGTGCGACGTCTAAAGGGGCGTACTGTGTCGCCTAGGAAGGATGGGGTCGTTTCAGAAGGAATTATGCGAACTGTGAGGGAAGTTCATTGACTGCTGTTTGTCTTCCTACCTGACGCACTATATGTATGTAGTCCTCCCCTCCCTCTTCCGCTAGTTGGCCAGTTCTTTGAGGAAGAATTGGTAAAGTTTTCAAAGAACTGGTGGGGTGGCAGTGAGGGAAGAGGAGTACTGGAAGTGAAACGTTAAAGTGAGCGTAGAGGAGCTGTACGGACACCGCCAAACGTCCCGATGCTATATCCAACATCTAACTGCATGCCCTTCCGAAATGTCCCCAGTGCCTCGAGGTTAGGCAGGACATTTTACCTACCAACTCGTTTTGGAGACCTTGTGTATATTCTAGGTTCATTGTAAGTTCCTCATAACAGACGTATGTTCGAATAAAAAAATTGAAAGTGTTCTATTTAGTAAAACTGACCGACAGCAAGGCAGAATTAACTGTGAGTAGGTGATCATGCCGATAGCAGTAATACAGCAAAGAGCAATAAGGGGAAGTACACGCTGGTGAGTGAGAAACGTTCGACTGGGAAAATAGACCAGAGCATACCTGAAGGAATTCGCCTCATTATGCAGCTTCGAATCCACTCGATAAGGCTTAGAATTCAAAGGAGAAGGGAGGGAAGCACTGATTTTCTCTTACATACAGTTATTATCCCTACAAACGATAGGGCATGTGGCGCGGCGCATAGCGGACCGCTGCCAGGACGGCTTTGTTCCTGCAGTGATACCATCAAGAGCCTGCCACAGTCGTTAGGAAATCTGCCGTAGCTGCGCTTCAAGCCATGCACCATCAATTGTAGGGATTATGACTGTACGTACAGAACATCCTGGAATGGATGCTAACTCTTTCTTGAACGCAGAGGTATCCATCTCCCATATACCGTACTATCTCCAAAGCTCATTGAGAGCCTCCACGGCGAATGGTAGCGGAGTATGTTTTCCCTAACAATAAGAGCTATGAAATAATTTTATGCGGCGTTATTCTTCCAAGAAACAAATCCGTACTAGTAAAAGCTCCGAGCTATAATGAAAGGGTTGATATCTCATTTTACCACTGCTTTTTCGACAGGAGTCTCCCAAAGGACGACCCTGGTGGCTTGAACGCACGACAATCTTGTATGTATTAGGTCATCCCATTCAAAAGTGCCGAGACATATAGAGGAATGGCAGAAAAGCAAAGGGGATAGAGCAGCGGGCTACTATACCATTTGGAGGCTAGTACCTTTAGCTATGTATCTGTGAAATTTGGCGAACCTACCCACAGAAGAAGTTCTCGAGAAATTGAAAAGAAGCCCGAGTGGTGAAAATCAGCGCCGGATTTTCAAATCAGACGTCATAAGAGGAAAGTGCGCTGCTCAAATTTGACCTGCGCCGGACCAGTAGTTGTGTGTAATGGTGTTCTCGAAATACAAGGTGGAAGATTTGGTTCAGGAGCCCGAAGAAGGAAAAGGAAAAAATTTGTTGTCGTGGATGGTCCCATAATGTTCATCCTGCACAAGA